GCATGCCCTGGCCATCTTAAATTCAAGTATTCCTTCAGGGGAACCTAACCTTGATGTGAGAACATCCTCTACTCCAGGATCAGCAGTAATGGCTTCTGAGTTATATATGTCTCCTAACAAAGTCCCCAACCAGAGGTCTCCGCTCCCATTGCCTAGCGTCTGTGGAACCTCAATGTCAGGCAAGCCGGCACTACCTCTAGGAGGGTACAGAGATGCAAATCGAAGTTCAACATACTACCTTTGCAATCCTGGTGCTGATTCCAGAGTAACTTTTGAAGGGACTAATAGCCACTTACCCCTAACTACAGTGAACGGCCGAAGCGCAAATAATGGGCTAGGTTGGCGTTCCTTTTCTACACCTTACACGCGCCTTTCAGGAGCCGGCTCTCAGGTTGTTGGTGGAAATTCTACTATCAGGCCGTCTAGGCGTGGAGGCATCTTAACTCCTGGTGTTATCAATAGCTCCAGTCTATCTGGAGGAAGCGGACACACTGTAGCCATTTTGCGGCCCAATTCCTCGTCTATTCCAGCTTATGGCTCTGGCAGCAAGCATCCGGGACGCCTTCGCTTTCAGATGCAACCACGACCGACACTACCTTCGTTGATGACCCGTAAGTATGGTATATTTTGTCCTTTTTCTTTTTTTTTATTTAAGCTTGCATATTTTTATCGAGAATTTGCGAAATTTAGTCTATATTTAAGCATAGTTTCCGCTTTTATGTCACAATTTTCGCAGAAAGATGTTGTTAAGCCATTTTTGTACATAGATCGCAGACTTCTCATAACAATAGGTTCATTTTATATTATTTTTTATTGTAATATATCATATTATATACTGCCCCGAAGCACTTTGCACAGTTCTGCTCCCATCAATCTTACAACTATTATTTGTTAAAGGGCTTTCCGTTCGGTATTGTGATTTTTTTCGTTTAAAAAATAAAAAGTTTAGATAATGCCTGTCAGATGTGGGGTGGATAAGTTATGTACAACATGAGGGATCTTTAGAAGTGGGTTGACCTCGTTGTCGCAACTTGATCTTGTTGTCAGGGCGACTATGTATAACACACCTAGTCCGAAGTCGTTTGCCATAGTAGTTGTCAGGATTCCCAGCATCAGATAAGGGGCAGAATGTATAAAGTCCACTGTCAGATGCTGGAAATCATGACAACTACTATGGCAGACGACTTCAGACTAAGTGCATTCTACATAGTCGCCCTGACAACAATACAAAGTTGCGACAACGAGGTCAACCCACTTCTATAAATCGAAAGGAGACTGCGACCATAATAAAGGTCACAACATATTGGGCTTCATATATTCAAATGAGGGATCTTGTTGAAAATAAGCTTCTACTTATTTCGTATAAATACAGCCAGGACCTCTAGCGAAGGCCATCTCTTCATTATCTACTACACCCTAATTGGATTTTATCGGAAAACAAAATGTATACTCTACTCAACTATTTATGGGTCTGAGTCAGGGTCGCTGAAGAAGGCATGTTTCACTGAAGCTAATCCAAAGCATGTTGAGGCTTAGGCGAATTGATTCTACCATCGAAGACTATGAACATTTGCTGTACTTTTGATAGCATTTTTGCCTCAATACGAGTTGTTTTGGCCATATAAGCAAATAGGCTTACAATGTACAATGTGGAGTTACCCATCAAAGGGGAAGCCGCCAGAACAAAACGGAAGCTCTAGTAAATTATATATCATCAGATCGGTAGGAGATTAGTACTGTGTAGCATGACAATACCTCTCATGAATCAGTCAGTCTGGCATATAATTGTAAAGGAACGTTGTACTGCATATAGTCTTAAAACTTAGGCGATACTTGAATGGCCGTGTGATACTACAATAGTCTAGTGTCCTGGAACCGTGTTAAGGCAATTTCAGAAAGCTTCGTCTCAAAGTAAAGGCAAATCTTGCTGATAACCAAGAGCAAAGCATACTTTCACGTTTTATGTCGGTCTAGCTGCGCATACGTGATCAGGATACAAGACGATTGGTTGGTGTAGCTGGTTGTATTGGCAAGTCGTCTTCAATAAAACTGCAAATAATACACACATGCAACGTGAACACTTTACCATGAAATACATATTCCTCGAGTTTCGGCACATTTCACAGTTTATGAGTGCCAGAATGGTCAGCCTTGACTAGAGAAGCTGAAAACCTGTACATCAGTATTCACACACTTATGAATGAGGCAGACTGTAGCAGCACATAATAACACTGGAAGTATTAACTTCTAAAGCTGGTTTGGCAATCTTCTTATTCCAAAAGGACTTCCGAATATTGCATATTTATCTTTCTTTCGGCGACTGTGCAGGGTTTAGATCTCAGTAACGGTGGCTATAAAGAGCGTAGTGATTACTTAGGATTTGGCGTATTTTATTTGGTTCTGGACGATTTTATGTCTTTCCTACTGGCGAGGACCGGAACCTTAATCTTTCACATGCCTGTATTTTTTTATTGATTTTGTACTTTATAATGAACTTTGGAAAATATCCTTGATTCATTGGAAAATATGCTATTTCGTGTCATTGGACTATTCATTCGAATTCGCTTACACCTCATGATCATCTCCAGTGGAATTTTAGACGTGAGCCCTGGATTTATAGACAAACGGTTATCTTCACTTAAATTAGTCTTAAAAACCTATTCACATACGGGAAAAAGTTATCCTCAATGTCTTTGAGTCACATGCAAGATGTGTTTTACGTCAACTGAGGCTTCTATAAATTGACATCTAAATCAAGATTTTTTTTATTGATAGACATCCTGGGAATCTGCCTCTCAACTTGATAAATTAATGTAATATTTGGTCTTGTTGTCAGGGAGACTTAGTAGAAACGCACCTAGTCCGAAGTCGTCTGTCGTAGTAGTTGTCATGATTCCCAGCATCAGATAATGGACAGAACGGGGACTATGAAGGGACAGTAAGGACGATGAAGGATTCACAGAAGTGGATATGCCTACCTTCCTGTGAACTAACTCAAAAACTACGGCCAATTTTGAGTAAATGTAATATTCAGGTGGTCATAAAGGAGAAATCAACACTTTTCACAAGTCTACCAACGCAACATCAAAGAGTAGACAAATTGGATTGTTCATGAGTTTACTGTTTATCATGCGGCGCCTGCGATCAGAAATATATTGGCGAAACAGGGATAAAAATTAGTCATACGAATCAAGGAACATCAGAGGCCCTGCAGGAAAATGTATACAGAAAGATCAGAACTAGCTTACCACATCGCACAGACTGGACGCGAGATCAATTGGAAGGCAACAGAAAGAAGAGCTCCATACGAAGACAATACAAGAAAGCGCATGATTAGGGAGGCCATTGACATGCTTGGGAAAAAATCTAATGAACAGGAGATTGGAGGAAATTAGAGTTAGCGATAACTTTGCCTACTGCCTAAGCAAACTTGGGGAAAACCAGCGAAAAGGAGACGCCTGGATCAAGGATCTATCACTAACCGGAGGAAAAGGGATCGCAATGAAGAAAGTGAAGGAAAGGGGTTTTTGGCAATGAAGCGAAGACGTTTGTCAGTGAGTAATGCCCATTTCGAATAAACAAGTACAACTTTGGGGGCCTGGCAGACAGGGAGCTGGGCAGACGGATAAGCATATCGTCACGGAAATTCGGCTTTATGCCAAAAATGAACTAGAAATCCACTCGAGATGCTGCACGCGACCAGAGATAGGCGGTCATAGTTTGCTCAGATAACATGGGTTTAATGTTGGAGACGATCCGTGAAAGTAAGGCCTGATATTTGCAAGAATGGGAATCACAGTCTAGGCGCTATTCCTCAGTTTGGCTGTGCTGTACCTGCTTCTAGGGCCTTGAGAAATGGCGCCTGAAGTAAAATGTACACTTGGACTGGAACCGAGTGAAATTGGTCAACCAGAAAGAGAAGGAACGGATTCACGAGACAATGGAGAGATTCGGATTGGAGGCCCGAGTCGGATCAGCTGATAGAAAGAGAGGGTTCGGGGTTAATAGCAAGTGTGATGAGGCCACATTCGGATTGTCACAAAAGGGCACATTTTGACGAGTGGAATGTAAACAAGTCGCAAGGTGTGATACGGCGGCAGTGGGATTTGAGGGTAAAGAGTGGATAGATGGACCAGGACAGAAAGAGGAGTGATAGTGTAACCGTTTTCGGCAGAACGTTTGTCGAGGGATTGACTTGACTTGTCGCTTTGACGAGTTCGTAGCTTGGTGCGGAGAATGGCAAAACGAACTGATGCTGCCGACTACGATGCCGGCGGAACTTTTGAGAATGTACCAAGTCCACTATCTGATGCTGGGAATCATGACAACTGCTATGGCAGACGACTTCGGACTAGGTGCGTTTTACTAAGCCGCCCTGACAACAAGACCAAGTTGCGACAACGAGGTCAACCCACTTCTATAAATCGAAAGGA